CATGATCAAGTAGGATTCATCCCAGGGATGCAAGGCTGGTTCAACATACGCAAGTCTATCAACGTAATTCACCACATAAACAGATCCTTGGGATTTTTTACAGAGGCTATCATGTCATCTGCAAATAAAACAGTTTTATGGCTTTTGCTTTTTTTCTTTGTCTCACTGCACTGACTGGGACTCTTAGTACAATGTTATATAGCAACGGTATGGGTGCCTTGTCCTTGTCTTAGAAGGGAAGCATTCAGTCTTTGACTGTTAAGCATGATGTTCACTGTGGGGTTTGGTGTAAATGTATTTTATCAGGTTGAGAACATTCTCTTCTATTTCTAGTTTACTTCATTTTTTCTTACTATGAATAGACATGACGTTTGTCAAATCGTTTTTTCCATCAATTAATAGGACAATATTTTCCTTCTTTCACTGTCAGTAGGGTGGGTTATACAGATTATTTTTCAAATATTGAATCAGCCCTACATTCCCAGGATGACAATCCTCACTTGTCTTTTTATATATTTCTGCATTCAATTTGCTAATATTTTGTGGAGGACTTTTGCATTTGTGTTCATGAGCAATATTGGTCTATAGTGTTTTTTGAAGGGGTGATTGTCTCTATCTGATTTTATTATCAGGGTAATTTTGGCTTCAAGAGATGCTTTTGGTGAATATTCCCCCTTCTATTTTCTGGGAGAAATTATATAGAATTGATGTTATCTTTTTCTTCATTTGGTAGAAATTTTCAATTATGCCATTTGGTTCTGAAGATTTTTGATTCAGAAAAAGTTTAAGTAAAAATTTAATTTTTTTATAATTTTAGCACAATTTAGATTACTTATTTCATCTTTGGTGAGTTTCAATGGTTTGTGGTTTTCAAGGAATTGATGATTTTTGTCTAAATTGTCTAATTTATATGTAGAGGATTGTTATTTTTCTTTTTATACGTTTTTACATCTGCTGAGTCTAATGATATCCCTCTCATTTCTGATACTAGAACTTTGTATAGTCTCTTTCTCTGTCAGTCTTGTGAGAGTTTTATCAACTTTACTAATCTTTTCAAAGAACTAGTTTTTGTTTCATTCATTTTTATCTCTTGTTTTTCTATTTTCAGTGTAGTGATTTCTACTTTTAACTTTTTGATTTCTTTACACTTATTTTGCTCTTTTTCTAGTTTCTTAAAGTGGAAGCTGAGATTATTGATTTGAGACCTTTATTCTAATATAAGCATTTAATGTTATTTTTTTTTCTCTAAGCACTGCTTCAACTGCATCCCACAAATTATGGTATGCTATGTTTTTGTTTTAGGTCAGTTCAAATATGTTCTAATTTGTCTTGTGACTTTCTCTTTGGCCCCTGGATATTTAGAAATGTGGTTTATTTTTAATTTCCAAATTTTGGAAATATTCTTGTTTTCTTTCTGTTACTGATTTCTAGTTTAATTCCTTCATGGTCAAAGAGTATAATTTGTATAATTTGAGTTTTCAAAATATGTTATTTTATGACCTAGGATACGGTCTATCTTGATGATTACCCCATAAGCACTTGAAAAGAATGTGTATTCTGGTGGTTTTGGTTGTCTGTTCTATAAACATCTATTAAATCCACTTGGTTGATGGGTCATTGTTTTATAAGCTTGCCGTTGCTTCTTTTCTGTGTCCTCGTTCTACTTAATACTGAGAGGGAACAGTTAAAATCTTCAGTAATAATTGTGAATTTTCCTATTTCTCCTTTCATTGTTTTCAGCTTTGTTTCATGAATTTTGAGCTCGTTTTTGATACATATTTTAGATTATTATGTATTCTCATGTACATTGCCTCATACATCCATCATTATACAATGTCCCTCTTTATCCTTGGTAATTTCTTTGCACTGAATTAATATTAATATAGTCACTCCAGCTTTCTTTTTATTAGGTTTTCCTGATGTATATATATTTTCACACTTTCACTTTGAAAGTATCTATATCATTATATTCGAAGTGAGTTTCTTGCACTTCCATACCTGCATCTGAGTCCAGGGTCTCAGGTGTTGAGAGGACAGAGAGGAAAAAGATCTGTGATGGTTGGCTGCCTTTGAATGATGGCTTCACTAACAGAGAACTTGGCATCTCAATCTTCACATTTCCAAAATGTTTACTTGAGTATATTTATAAAGCTGAAGTGAAAGAGGCAATAGAGAAGTAGCATTTGAGGATAGAAAATACAAAACTACTTCCAGACACTGGGTCAGTGGTCCTCAAACTTCAGAGTTTAAATACAAGAATTTTATTATAAATCCAGATTCCTAGGCTACATCTACAGAGATTGTGCTTTGATAGTTCTAGCCTGGGATCTGAGAAACTGCATCATCCTGTCCCAGATAGTTCCAATCCAGAGAATCCAAGGATGGCACTGTGAAAATTTTTTTCTTACCTAATGATTATGGTAGTATACCTGATATTACGCTGCTATCTTAGAACTCATTACTCAAGAGCAAGGCAGGCCTAAGTTCATTTACACAGGCAAGTGGATAAGATTGGGAAATTTTAATTGTGTTTCAATTGTATTTCAATTTTTTCCTTTTATTGGTAGGCCAATTTTAGCACACGTTTGTTAGCTGGATTTATGTATTCTATTTAGGTAAAGTGGCTCTGAAAAGGCTTGCTGTGATTGATAAAATATAAAAAGAAAGATTGAAGATATTTGTGTAATTTACTATTTGTCAGTTATTTCTCTTTTCAGATATCTGCTTCCTCCAATCTTCTAAGCTGCTTTTTTCTTTTTTCCTTAATATTTATAGAGAATCCAGAGTAGAGGAATTGCTAGTTTTTACAGCCTTTGCTTTCCATCAAGACTTACGTTACCAACATATACGTCCTGCATCTTCAGCAACTCTGTTTGACCAATATGCCTTCAACTTTCATGTGGGGTTATAAAAATTATTTTCTTAGTCAAATACTTTCTTTCATGATATAATAGATAGCATGAGAATCATCTCTGGTAGCAATAGCCTTATCTTTTTAGACCACTTGAATTATATTTTATGTAGATTCTGAAATAGTAATGGAAATTCATCATCATGTCTTCAGTTCTGAGCATGCTAAATTGACCATACTTTTTTAAATAATCAAACCACCCATAGTTTGCCAAAGATGATAATTGGGCAATGATGACCTTTAAGTAATTGTACTTTTTCTTTGTCTGAATTAAATGCATTCCTCAGATTTGGAAATGAAACCATCATTAGGAACGTATGTAGTATACTGGAATTCAGAACAGGATACCTCAATGTTGTTATTCTTATCACTGTTTTATTAATGGAAAATGGTGCTAAAATGTTTCAGATGTATATTAACTTTCTGACCACAAGATGTTTATTTTGTATTTTACTGAAAAGTAATTTACTTTTATGTAGAAACTCTTCCAGGACACTATGTCCTGGAAGAGTTTCTACATTTCTGAAAGGAGAGTAATTTTCTTCTTTCCCTCTGAGAAACTATCTGTATCACTACAATGAAGTAATTCTTTTGGAGTTAAGAAATAAAATACTATACTATTTTCATCCTAGTTTACTTTTTTTAATATCACTCATTGAGAGATGATTCTGTGCTTTGGGAAAGGTATATTGTATGCATAAATGAACTTGGGTTTCTCACCTAAGAGAAAAGAAATTTACAATGCCCAGTAGCATGAGGACGAGATTTGCCATAATAATGCTGTTGAATTTGGGCATGTAAATACCTGAAACTTGCAACAACAACAACAAAAAAAGTGAAGGCCCTTGCAAGATTTGGGAAGTAAAAGATAGTAAGAGATTGCAGAATAATTCTTGTAAAGAGTTAAGTAATTTTCTAAGGACAGAACTTGTTGCCGGAGACATTTCCAGGGAAAACCCGGGGCACCATTGCTAGGCACTATGTTATATAACAGATCTCACATTTGCTTTTCTAATTGGTGTTTGACCTAGTAATACTCTTTTTGATTCATGTGTATTATCTATTTCCTCCGGTGGCCAGTAACAAACAAGAAAAACCATTACTCAATGCAATGAATATTTATCTAACAGAAAAAATAGAGATGAATGTTTTTGTTACTAAATAAATTTAATTGCTATAACAAAGATTCTTAAAATATAGCAGGTAAAACACAATAGAAAATTGTTTTTCTCTCCTCTAATAGTCTGAGTGGGAACTGTGAGGTTGGTACTTTGATCAGGGATCAGAATCTTTTGTCTTAGGGCTCTACCATCTTTGACACATGGTTTCCACCTCATGCTCCTACCAGACCATCTGCATTTTAGCCAGCACAAAGGAGGAAATGTAAAAAGAAAGGCCACATTAAATCTCTGCTAACATCTGTTTACTCATATTCAAATATCTATAACTTGATCAAATGGCAATGCTTAGTTCCACGAAAGACTGAGAGAAATGTAGTCTCTATCTAGATGGCCATATTACTTACATTAGTAAGAAGGAAAGGATGAATATTTTTTGGACTATTCAAAGTTTCTCCCACAATAAGTGTACTCAGATTTCTTTTCTCAGTGAGCTTAAAATATTCTATAAGTGTGAAGAAAACTGTTAATTGTAATACAAGCAACAAGTATGAAATAAGAATTGTAGGAAATGCTTATATTTCAGGAAAGCTTAAATATGATAGAACTATTTATAATTTCAGCAGCAGATAGGACATCCAGGAATAGAAGCCCAACTAGGTATTGAAACTATGGGTATAGATAAAGGAGGAAATTTCTTAGTAAAAGTGGCATCAGAATATCCAAAAAATAGAACTTTTCAAAGTACACCCACTTTTATCCACTAAGAGTCTCTGAGAGGCCTTCATACCACAAGGTGTATTCTATTTTGGGGGGATCATGAAGCAGAGAAAGAAAGATGGAGACTAACTAACCTAAATCCTTCACAAGTCTTAAAGCCTCCAAGAAAGGGTAAGTCTCTTTATTAGATACATCTACCTCTCTTACTGAATAGGGTCTTTGGTATTGTTTCTGCTTCTTCCCTCCTCCAGGGTGCTTTTCAGGAAACAATGATCATTTTTTGGCAATTAATCAGAAGAAGAGTGGAAAGCCGGTATTTGTTTACCACCATTCACAAGACATTGAGAAGAGCCTGGATATAGCCCCACAAAAGATCAATAGACATAGCTACCATTCCTCTTCCGAAGCTCAAGTAAGCAAACGCCACCAGATTGTCAATTCAGCATTTCCTAGACCTGCATATGACCCGTCTCTCAATCTGCTGGCCATGGATGGTCAAGATCTTGAAGTGGAAAATCTTCCAATCCCCGCAGCAAATGTAATTGTGGTGGTAAGTAGCATGTTAAACTGATGCGGAGGCTGATGTTGATGCTTTCCTGTCATTGATGCTTGAAAAAAGAAAAACACTAATTGTGAATAGTCATCAGTGAATCCCAGTGGTTATGTACCACAGCACCTATTCTGTGGCACTTCTAATTTGTTACTTGACTATTGTCTGTTTTCTTCCTCTTAAGTAATCTGAAAACTTGTCTGTATCCTCTGCTCATAGCAGAATGCATGATACATGGTAGATGCTTAATAAATATTTGAATAAAAGATTACTTTAGGAAGGACTTATAATTATAGTTTATTATATCCTATCCTATACTGACCCTCCTGCCTTCTGTGAGAATCTGTTTCAAGAAGATAGGCCTTAGTCTCAGCCCGTGTAAATAAATAGCACTTACTGAAGATTCTCTGGTCACTTGACTCAAATTACAGTAAATGAGATTACTGAAAGGGAGGGGTGTGGTAGAGGGCGAGTAGTTTTCTGTCACTGGAGCAAATAAAATGAGTTGGGAGTAAGTGGTAGATGATATTCCTGATATTAATGAATAAGCACCATTCTTTATTAATCAAAGTGATGAAACAATCCCATTGCTTATGTTCTTAAAGTTCCCTTGTTTGTATAATCCAGGTAAGAAGTTCCCAAATTGTGGTGGTGTCATACTTTAAATACATGCTGAGGTTGAGACCCTATTTGGACTATAGTCACTCTCTGGTGTAGCATCATCATAGGAGGTTCCACATTGAAACTACAAATCAGTAGCTAAATGGTTGTTCTTGCATTTCTGCTCTAAAATATAATCAAATGAGTTGATTTGTGAGATAATTCAATGAAACCATGTTTGCATTTTGGCAACTTCTCTATGCAACAAATGTAATTAAATTTAACAAGTTTGTTTTTCTTTTCTTTATTTTTTTAACCTACTACATACAGTGTACTTTACTCAGTATTGAGAATCAAAGTTGCATTCATCAATGTTTTTCAACTAACATACACTAATTATTTATTATGATCTAGTTTCCCCTTGGGATATCTGGAAATAGAGACAAATGAAATACAGTCTCTTCTTTTGCTTGGAAAATGTCTGGAGGAAATATCAATAATTCAATAAAAATCATAAACTGAGAATGCAAAATGAACTCTTGTTAAGGGAAAATATGTGGGTCACTTGGCATCCTGAAATACTTGAACAAGTTTTCTGCATTACATGAGTAGCAGATGTTCTGAAGGTGAAAGTCATGTACTCTGTCTATTCAGTGAAGATAAATGATGATAATGATGTCTCTGTGTCTGGAGATGCTCACGTTAATGCTAGGGCTTATGGGAGATATTGCATCTAGTGACCATCATATACCCATAGTCATCAACTCTTAGTCACTGTGAATTATGGTTCAAGAGGCTTTTTCTATCTTGTAATGTCATGTACTGTCTAGTTAATTTAATATTATGGACAATAAAAGGCATCGATGAGGAATTCTGGCAGGTCATTTTACCTTCAGTTTATTTGTGGTTTGGAGATTCATGAAGAAGCTGTGCTTTTTCTTTTGGGTGATGATTACATAGTGACAAATAGGCAATTTTGGTGCATTAGCTTTCCCTAGCCTCATTTGATCTAGCCTCTAACCATGCTGTGGCTTTGGTAGCTGGTAAAGCCAATTGCCAGTCCTAATGTTTCCTATAATCCACTTAGATTACTTATGCACATAATGACTTAGCAGCAAAACTGGGGAGGCAGGGTTATTTTTTAAATAATAATGTTTAGCTTCCTCAAAAAGGAAAGGGTGATACAATTAAATATCAGCTGATTTGAAGATTCATTCTATGCGGAAAAATGGATATGTGGATGAGGCATACAGTAAGCAAGGGTTATTTTCTGGGGCAGCATAATGACTTTAATGGATTAATCGACGCGTGTTTTTGCATCTCATTTGTACATGTGTATAAACATATGTATCAATGCAGACGTTCTTGTTTGAGGGATATTGTAGTGGTACTAAGAATTATTTTGTGACTTAATTTATACCTAAATAGACCATGTTAATGACTATCAGTATCTTGAACTGGAGAAATTATAGGCATTTTTTTTTCAGCCGGGGTCGAAAGCCACACTCAACCTCTAAAATTTATATGTAACTTCTAAGACTTCCTAGCTCAGAAGGATCAAGCATTGTTCCTCCAATATTTGTTTTTCTATCTTGTTTCAGCTACTATTGACAATGAGTTTTAGAATGCTACATCTAACGAAGACATGATAGTTACGTGTGTCTCTCCTCTCCTCCTGATTCCCAGTTGCTGCCGCAAAGCATTTCATGAGAGTACTTGTCCACAAATGAATTTTTTCCTCTTTCTTCTTTTTATTGGTAATCAGGAAAGTTTATAGTTTATTTATTATGAGGAGAGTATAGCACAATTAGATTGTTTATCCCAAAGAATGCTAATTATGTTCCAGAAACTCAATTAAGAAGCTGTTATTAGGATTTCTGTGCAAGTACAATGTAGAGAGGATATAAATGCCCCAAGGTCAGTGCTATGGTAAGAGGAAAAACATATAGCTTTAGATGAAAGTATGCTATAAAATCCATAGCTCTTGTCACTGGATCCTCAGGGTATTTGTTAAGCCACAAGGCCGCAACACCAGGAAGGAGGGAACTTAGAGGTACAAGTGAAAGTGGTGAAATGCAAGCAGCTACAGGCCATTTCAATTCAGCATAGGCTGCTGAGTGAAGAATGTTCTAGCCTGGCCAAAATCTGAGCAAACTGGGGACTAGTAAGATTTGGGAAGATAAGGGGTGTTTTTGACATCGATGAAAGGGCATGGAAATGGGAAGATTATGACCAGTCTGTGAGAAGGACTTGTGGGAATAAAAATAAAGGAAAGAAGATGAAGGAGGAAGCGAAGGAAAGAAAGCAAGGAAAGAATGGGAAAAGAAGGGAGGGAAAAGGGAGGAGAGGATACAATGACAGTTCTTAGGGAAGTGGGAAGCATTCTGTGAGCATATCGAAAGATTGTGGTGAGTTTCCAGGGGCTTGCGATTCTCTCCTTGAGATCCTAGAATCCTGAAACTTCTTGTCTTGCTCACGACTCACCCAGATCAACACACAGACATTCCATTGTTTCGGTGATACAGGACATTCCTTGCAAATACTTTTATCTGGTATTTGACTTAGAAAACTATTAAAGCCAAAACCTTGTGATAGCTATGGGTTTTAATTTCATTCGAAACTTGGGTTTATGGCATACCTCAACTTTGTTCTGCTGTTGACTACATTTTGAGATTGATATTACAGGTAAAGTGATAATCTTAGACATATTTGAAAGGCTTGAAAGTCCAGCTTTCTCATTGCTTTGCCACAGTAAAGAAATTTTGTAACATTTGCTGTGCTGTGTGATGTGGATAAATAATTGTTGGACACTTTCTCAATAGGCAAATTGATTTAATTATAATTTTGTATTTGTGTAGTGGATGACCCAAAGGATGGGCTTTATCTATTTACTTATCAATAAAATTGATAAGTGAGGAATATTTTGTTGCAAGTGAAAAGAAATTGAACAGAAATTGGAGAAAATTTATTGGTTCAAATACCAACACTTTGGTAGTATATTTAGCTTTAGATTTAATTCAGTCAGCATTTAACATTTCTCCTGACATAGGAGAAAGTTAGGATCCCTGGGATATGTCTAGAAATTCAGACTGTTTGCCAATGATGACTATGCTTTAGTATATTGTGACCCCAAAGGGTCTCAAATTTGTGAAAAACCATGGTAGCCTGTATACTTCTTGATGGTGATGGTTTACATAATAGGGACAATTGGTGCTGTGTTAAGCTGTGGAGAAGCAGATATCTAGGCTTATTCTTGAGCTAAGTGACTTGCTTATGGTGGGCAAACTCCTAGAAAGCATGGCTCAAACACAGACTTTGGGAAAATTTTTTAATTAATATGTGTTAAGGGGTTATGGGATTATTAAAATAGCAAACATAATACCAAGTCCAACGTAATAAATTGGTAAAAGGCACAAGTCTATTATAAGGTGAGGTATGACTCAGATACACTTCAATATAGTTCCAGAACCCCTGTCCCAAGTTCCCAGGTGGGATGCATATGAATCCCTAAGTGAATAAATCTGATTTTAAAAGTTGCAATACAAGGATGTTGGTTAAACAACTACCGAAAATACATGCATGCAAACTTACAAATGGAAAAGGAGAAATTGTAGAGCACTTTGGGTCCATGTGAGAAATTAGAGAATGATAAGTGAGGCATCACAAGCGAGTGGAAAAGATTATTGACCACATGAGATTGGCACAATTGAATAGCTTTTTGACAAAAAAAAAATCATGATAGTGATATTATATTTTTGTTAAGTATAAAACATTGATAGCATGGTAAGAACTATGCAAGTATTATCTCATATAATTGTTATAGCAAGCCTATGGCAACAACAAAACTATTATCTCTGTTTGAGTCTTGGCTTTTCTTTCCCTCATAAACTATTGGAACATGCTGCTAACTAGTCACTGTACCCACTCTTTCCCATTTTTGTTGTAGTGACCTGCAGAAAGTTTGAATCAGATCATATCACACCACACATAGACACACAGACACACAAACACATTCACAACTGCCTTCTCATTGCCACTGAACTAAAAGTCAAACATTTTCCCATAGCCTACATCCTACATCACCTGGGATCGAAGTTTCCCAGAACTCTTGCCTAAGGATTCTAATTCCACAGTTCTGGGATGGATCCCAGGAATCGATGCATTCAGCAAGCATTCTGGAGGATGCTTGAATTTTCAGAGGTTTGAGAAGCATAGCACACAGTAGGCCTACCTCTGTGTCTCTGAGCCCATCTCCTACCACGTCACCTTTTTCTGACTCCTTGCAAACTGCTCTGGCCTTCTTTCTACCTCGGGACAGTGAGCCTATTCTGCGTAGAATCTTACCCTTGTTATTCTACCTAGAATAACACAATTCCTGCAAATCTTTTGTCTAGCACATA